CTGACGAGGAGCAGAGTGCGCAATTTGTTAATGGAAATTCAATTGAATTGAAAAACTAAATAAATACCAATGCACAGGTAAATAAATAAAACCAGGCTAACGCAAAGGTAGCAGACGGTGTAGGGGTGGAGAAAACATCAAATAAATAATGAACATGAATTTTTTGCCCCTTCGGCACTTATTTTTTTCTTCTCATCCTATAGATTTTTTGCCATTCCTGTGTATAGGGACAATTTCACACATCTGTTCCTCAATTGAAGTGAAGAAATATGGCAAAAAAAAGTATCACTTTTTTCATACAGAACTCCCGGCAATATATTAAATCAGTTGATCAACCATTTATGCTGGGTTTAATTTTAATTGGTTTCCCTTGGCAGGCGCAACTATTAACGGAATTATGCTTTTTAATTCGAACAACAAATGTTCGCGGAATGCAAAGGAAAGAAATTGCAAAGTTTTTTCTCTCTCCCCCTCATCTAGATGAACTCGATCTTGCCTCAAATTGCTTTCCGCCTCGTTTTTATAACCCTTTCAACTCTGTAGATTTATGTTCCATTTTAGGTGGCGCCACCTGGCGTCGCCTACCGCTGGCAATAAAATATATATAGTATATATCCGTAGGTTTCACCTATATATAAAGGCCAAACAATAAAAACACAACTTCATACACGACATAAATCACCTGGGTAGTTCAGGCATGGCTGAAATATTACTCAGCCAAGAAGTTAAATACAAACTGCCACTCCCCCACCTCACTGACCAAAAAGAAAAAATGTATAAAATGGCATATAGGGCGTGGTCAATTAGAGTAAAAGTTGGCTGTAAGTAATACCCAGATTGTGGGATAATAAGGGGTTCACATTTTTGCGATTTATGTAGCTAAAGGAAATAAATAGCTTCGGAGATAAGTTTTGTTTTACTTTTTTGCGAAATAAATTCAGACTTCTCACTAGCATTTTCCTTTTTTTTTTAAATGTCTTCCGCTTAGCTTTTATATGGCCTTTGCCCAACACCCAACTAATAATGCCAGACCACAAGGGAAACAGCACGAATGACCTCGGTATATGACTGGCACTCACAGTTTTTCTTAAAAAGAATAGGAAAATAGGAAATGTACTTTGTGGCTTTTCGGTTTTTCCGAATGCTGATATACCACAAAGTCGGTTTATCTTGGGTTAATATTACTTGGGTTATAAATTACGTTCATATTTACTTTCTAATTGGAAAATATTGGGCTAACACCTAATATTATAAACAATTTAATTACAATCTTGTTTTTCCTAAACAAGTTCAAACTACCTTTCTTAACCCATATACCCTTCTTTCTTAGCCAAGATATGCCTGTGCATCATTGACTTCACTTGGCCAAGCGCCATTTTGTATTTCATTTTATTTTGTTTGTCATTTAAACCGCATATGCCCCACCACCAACACATATATACTCGCATAAAGGAGTCCCTCCTGTACAATACTATATATTATTTATTTGCCGAAGCCACACACATTTGAACTATGAAATAACCACGGGAATGTTTGCCATTTCGTGGTCAATATATATGGCATGACCCACATGAGGCGATTGCAAGGATGTGGCATCATCGGTTGGCAAAGGATTGGTCAGGTGTGGTCGAGTTGTTTGGTCCAATGTTTGTTTATGTGACTGAGTGAGTGTGTGTTGTATGCTCTGTGTCTGACAGCAGCTCAAGGCTGTTCAATTAGTTGGGCGAACCAATCGCAAGGACACTGGCATTGTATGTCCCTAACTTCCAACTTCTAGCCTTTCTTTTTTTTCTGTCTCATATCAAACATCAATCACTTTTCATTAATTATTCAATTTGATATTTTTCACAGTTCAGAAAGAAACAAAAAAGCGCAACAGCATAGATAAGTCACAGAATTGTGGTTATTCTTATTCCTTTTTCCTTTTTTGCATTCCAAGCTAAACATAGATAGCCGACACAGGCACAAATCACAAAAGCGAAACAAATTCTGGCTGTGTGTTTTGTAATATAAATCAATCATACGACATGTGTGACACATCAAGCGCAAAGCAAATAAACCCAAATATTTGTCTATGGGAAATTTTCGGGTAGAGGAAAGGGATTCTCTTGAATGGGTACCTATTACTATAACTTAAGAGATTATAATAATAGGTAACATACTTTAGAAACTTACAGAAATAAAAATCTTTCCTTGAAAAACATACCAAAAAATATTATGAGGTAGTTTAAGCTTCTAAGTTCAAATATCACTCTTATTGTTAAGTTTACAATTTTTTCTAGTTTTAACATTCTGTATAGCAAGTCTACTACTCCCCTTTACCACACAGCTACCCTGTAGAACCGAAAACTATTTCTGAGATAAAAAGCCATTTTTGACTGTGTCGACTGACTGTCTCGCCTCCTGACAAACTGCAATGCGATTGCCAGCTCAGCAGATGCGTCCAGTGCAAACATAGTCAAACACACACACTCTCCTCCCCCCAAAACACACCATCTCCCCCTTGCTCTGACCCTCGCCATGACAACCCACCACTCAAGCCATTCTGTTTCGCTGCTCCGTTCTATTTGCAAGGAAAACATTTATGTAAAGTTTATATTATTAGAATGGCATACTGGAGAGTATTGTGTATGCCGTCTCTGTGTCTTTATAGCTGCACTCACTCTGTCTGTGTTTGTTTTATAACGACTACCAAACGACATTTGCCAATATGTTTTAAAGAAAATAGAAAATGGAATAGGATGAAAAGGGTGGAAAAGCTGGAGATCGTTAGACGACTGCCTCGTCTTTCAATTTGTTTGAGTCTCTTTCGCTGTGTGTGTGTGTCTCCTTTTGCGGGCGATTGAATTGGCATTTTAGTTGGGCCAGCTTTCTGCAGATGCGATGTCCTTTGCAGGACCAACAAACTCATCGGCATTTGCCAATTTGTGTGTCTTGCAGTTACTTTTTTTTTCTAACTCTCTCTCTCTCTGTGTGTCTTCTTTAGGCTCTTTTCTTTTGATTGCTTTGGCAGCAGCAGGAGGCAAAGTGCTGACATGGATTTGCATGGGATTGCAACCAATAAATTATACCTTGATTGCTCTGCAATAACTTTTGCTTTTTTCCATGTGTTGTGGAGTTGTGTGTAAGGAAAAACAAACTTTTCCAAATGCATTTTGCAAGAAGTTCGAGAGAGAAAATTTTATGAAATCTGTTTCAATTTTCAGCAATATGCATTTATTTTCCAAATCAGTTTTGTTCCTTTTAACTTTTATGATTAAAACATGTTAGGTTTTTCCCTATTCATCAGGTCACATCTTCATCCTAGAAAATCACTTTTAGGCTCATTTCCATGAACGTGAAAGTCCCGAAAATCTCCTCCTCCATCACCACCACAGACAAGGCCCAACGGAACTATCTACGAAATTATTACCATTTCAGTCTTCCTGCCCGGATTTCCATAACAAACATCAACCTGGGATGATAGTTCTAGCCATTTTATTTGCTCTCCTATTTTATTTTTTGTTTGGGCTCTCGTTGGCATGTTCATGCTCTGGAAAATATATATTGATATGGCCGAAAACAGTGCTCTAGTTTACAGGATGCATAACCCAAAAAAAAAAAGGCCAGCTCTGTACTCCCCTCCTCTTTTTTGGTAATGGTAACAAATCCCCGTTTGCTGTTGCTGTTGTTGCTGTTGGAAACTGGCAAAAGCCAGGACTTACGTTACCTGAGTTTGGTTTTTGGTTTGTTTTGGGCCCGGCCAGCAAAATATGTGGCCAATTATAGCAAAAGCAGACGTTTTTATGTTACAGTCCCCCCCCGCATGTCCTCTTTGCTCTCTGGTTACAACTAATTTATGACTTCGGGCTAAGAGCTAGGATTTTCCGGTTTCTTTTTCGGGTTTTTTCCTCTCTTTTCTTTCTTTTTTTTTTGTATTTTTTTTTGTTTTTTGCCTTCTTTCTAATCATTGGCCATAATTCAGTAGCTGTACTCCAGGCTATTCAATGTTAGTTTAATGGTTTTAAAATTGCCACAAATAAATATATTACGTATACGCAGGGTAGGTTATTCTTGACTTTAATTTCATGTTATTTAATGTATTTATTCTAATATAATTTCAACATTCCTATGCTACTTTCCTTTCAAATAGACTACCAAAAAGCAAATATATTGCCCAGAAAGCAGAGCACTTGACTCTAAATAAACATTGTTTTTGAATGGATTTGTTATGTACACAATTCGGTCTCAAAATCCATTTTATTATGCAAAGTGTCATCGTTTATTGTTACGCTGGCGGAACTTTGTTTACATTTGCCATCATTTTCTGGTGGCATCACAAAAATAATTTTTCCTTTACAGTCATCGCGGCAGCTCATCAAGAGATAGTTGAACAAGGCATTTATCCAAGCCCAAAATGTTGTTCATTGCTTTCGACAAGCTTAAAATTCAAATCTAATTCTTTAGAATATTCTTCGTCTTTTTCATGTTCTTTTTTTTTTACAAATATTTGCCTTCAATGTTGAATAAGAAGAAAATTGCAAGTGGCGAGAACAAGAAAAAATGTTTTGACATTTTCCACTGTCCCTATTTTACTTTTTGTTTTCATTTCTCCACAAGCTGACATTGAGATTTTGTTAGGTTTTTGCTTTGATTAAATTTTATACTGAAGAAGACTTTTATCTCGTAAGATATTCAGCATGATGGTCTCTTTAAATCTTAACTAACTAATTGTTTTTATATACACATTTTCCTTATTTCCATTCTGGCCTGTCATAGACACTCGCACTTGGCAGGGGAATAAAATCATTTATCATTTGTCATCATTTTGGCCTTTGTTTTCCTGATATTCTTTTGGACTTGGTCTTTTCCGCCCCAGTAAGACAGCCCCAGCTTGAGCCTCAGCCTGTCCTAAACAAATAACTTTTCGATGTGGCATTGACTAAAAAGTTATTCATTCATTTCAACTCAGACTTTTGGGGGCAAACTCAGGCAGCTCTTAAGCATAAATTAAGACTTACGTTTGATGAGACCGGTGATGAGGCGGTGGCGAAAAAGGAAAGTCCAGGATAGCACTCCAGACCGACTTCAGACTAGAAAATGATACAGAAAAAGGAAAATTTGTATATGAGAAAAAGTTTTGCACATTATAAGGGCAGCTGTGAGGGTAGAGAGGAAGAGATGAAGGAATGGAAAGACAGACTCAATTAGTTTTATTTGTGTAAAGGCAGACTTTCGTGCCCTAGTAACTGCCACTGGAAAAATTCCCTCACCAAATGCTTATTTTCTAAGGGATATGTTAGATCTGTAACTTGATATGTTTCTCCCTTAAATTAACACAAACATTTCGGGTTTAATCGTGCCTATGCCAAAAGTAGTTTGCACATAATTTTGTGTGAACAATTTGTTGCCTACTTTTACGTGTTGGCCAAAAAACTTTCTTAGCAAGAAAAAGTTTATCAGGGAAAACTACATAAAACTTTAAATGTGAAATCAACCCAAACCAAAAATAGCGCAAAGTTCAAGCAAAAAAAAAACTGCAATCGATATAAAGTGAACTGCTGCTGCTGTGATGTAGATTGGAAATGGTGTCGATAGAAGTCAAGTCCACAAAGAGACAAGACGTGACAGCAGAAATCGAAAGCCAAAAGCAAATCAAATACAACAGTTGCAGTTTTCACTCTCTTTTCAACATCCTCTGCCAGTATCTGGGGAAAACTCAGCTCTGCTGGCCGGATTTTTCACACCCAATAAGCGGAAAGGCGCTTAGAATTTAAATGCCAAACATAAACAAGAATATCTGACTAACAAAATCTGCTTATAAAGCCAGTCACTCTATTAAGTCGAATTTCTAATGTTCATGTTTTTAATTTTCATATTTAGTCAAGAGGATTCATTCTAAGTTAAGTAACACAAGAAAACATTATTTTCCCTGACTGTCGTTCGATGTTACCCTGTTTAGCTTTTAAGCAAGTCTCCTAAGTCTATATGGCGGGCAGGTTTTATCCGCAACCAAAAGAAAAAGATACAGTTAGAAAATAACCAGGACCACAGCTAAGACAGACATCCAGCAGGCAAGGAAACAATGTTGGGCAGTCAGCTTTTCTCATAGACAGAACTAGCTTCTTTTTTTCAAAGACAAGGTAAAAATAAAAATCTTCAAGTAAAAAATAATATTTAATTTTGATTCCTATAAGCTTTAAAATAAAATCATAAACTTTTCTTTTCTTATCTATAATATTACAACTTTATTTTATATTCCGAATCTTAAACCCGACAGCACTGAGCACCCACTAACCCCAAGCGCTCTTTTCTACTTTGGCGCATTGTTGACTTTGCCGTCTTGGCCGCTTGTGTATCTGTGTTTCTGTATATGTATCTGTATGTGTGTCAAGTGGTCGGCTCCTTTCTCCGCTTTCCCATCACCTGGCCAAAGATGGCATCCATTCATTTGGATCTTCTTGCGGCAGGTCAGAGGCAAATCGTTGAAGTTGGCTCTGTGCGTGGTTAAGTCCTTGTCGATGGGCTTAAACAAACAGAGAAAGATGGCAAAAGGATATGTAAGGATAGAGACAGAAAACAGAGATAGTCTGAAATGCGTTTGGTTGCTGTCTTTTGAATATGATTTAATTACTGCTAATTGCTGGCTATACTAATTAGTTTGAAAGGCTTTGCTCAAACTCTCCATCTTCAGCTTCTCCCTGATCAATAATGAGATTCGTAATGTGAATACATGATGAGCACCCATGTGTTATTAGATTTCAGAGAAGAGCAACTACATCTCTTTTGTTCATTGACTGGCAGGTAGTTGGGGTATAACTATTTAACTATTTACCATAAACATGAATATTCAGTAGAGAGAAGCTGATATAAAAGGTAACTCATCTTTGGTAAAAAACATACATTTTTGAACCTTCTTTTTAAATTCAAAATAAAACTAAATGAAGTAAATGAAAACCAATATCAAAAGCCACTTATTTTAATCATCCCTTCGCCAAAACATCAAAACATTTTCACTAACCAAATAGTGAAAAGGCATTGCCTTTATCCGGCAGCCCATAAAAATGATCCCCTTGCCATCCCCTGGGCCATAAATAATTTTGTTTTTCCAGATTTTTCACAATGCACTTAACGCATTAACGAGTCCCCAACATGCACATAATATCAGAGTAAAAAATAAGCGAAAACCTATATCCAAAAGCACAGAAGAGTAAGTCGACAATGATGACAGGAGGGAAGACACGTAACATAATCTAATAAATGTGAAAGTCAGTTTATGTGGCAGCAATCTGAAAAACAATAAATCTCCATTAGGTTGAGCCGGGCTTTCATTAACGGATTTCCATGCAACTAAAACAGGATGTGCGGTAGTATATATACTATATATACTAATACAGTTATGGTTGCATGCTTGTGGGTGTATTTGTTTCATGCACCTGTCATGAAAATATTTGCGCAAAATATTTTAAGCCGCATTTTGACAAAGGACTTGGCCCAAACAAACTAGAATCAGTCCTGACAGCAGGGACCTTCCACGCTCAACGTAAATATGACAGGGATTTGTTATCGGTATAGATGGTGTGTGGGTGGTTTGGGTGAGTTTAGTTTTTCCTGGCTAAAATATATATATTTTCCACCCATGTCATTGTATAAATACAAATAACTGAAGCTCGACTAAACGGATTATATGGCAAAATGTTCACGGGAAGCGAATAGGAATTTTTCAAATTTTTGCGGTCTACTTCAGCGGGTTCGGTTTGTGTTTTTTGGGCGGGAAATACAGATGGGAGGGTAGGAGTGTGGCAGGTAATGCATGTGTAAATGCAAACTAATTGCAGTTTGCGGTCAAAAATTGTTTAAAGGGTTATTAGATTACAGCATGATGGTCGTATCTATTATTAAACCTAATTAAATCCATGACAGAAATCAAATGAAATCAATACAAAACACAACGACTTTGTGTTTTTGATTAAATATTTTATAAAAACCAACTACCAAATCATCGTTTAATTAGAAATAAAAACTCTTTTGTAAATCCTGATTATTAACCACCCTTAATAAACGGTAAAGTTCTTTCAACTTTGACCTAATTCAGGGGAAAGTATATGACCCTCGGGCCAATCCTTACTGACCCATCGAAACGCGAGACCCGCAAATTTAAAACCACCAGCAGCAACCTCAAGGGGCAAATGCGCAATTGACAAGCAAATTGACAATTCACTTAATTCCGGACGACAACAAAAGTGGAGAATAATTCTTAAACATTAAACCGACTGCAGTTGACAGACGGCGGGGTGTTGGGTTCACAAATTGCACCCCCCACCAAAATTCCCTCGAGTAGATGATTAAAGGGTTGTTCGTTCCACTTCCTTCCTTCTCATGAATAATGCAAAAACCGCAAAAGCCAAAAACAAGCAAAAACAATTAAGTGGGCTGACCCCACCCTCTAGTTGTTTGTCTTTTGCTTTTTTTGTTTTTTTTTTGTTTTTGTTTTGTATGGCAATAATTATATGATTGACAGGCGATTGAGTTTTTGGCCCCAAAAGCCTGTAAGGCAATTTAATATCAAGTGATGGCGCCACGCCCTCAAAGAGATAATGCAATCCCCCGAACAGAGTTAGGTGGGTCAAATGTCAGTGGTTGTAGCTTGGTGGTTGACGTTGGTTGGGTTGACTGCTTTGGGGTGTTGTCCGTCTGTTGCCTTTGGTAATTACGCTCACACATATCCACATGCATGCTAATTTCAACTGACCCCGGGAATCCGTCACAAAATCCAGTTTCTGGCCGAGTCTGCAATGCCGAATGAGATTTTTGTGCAATGCCCTGTGTCTATCAAATCCAATACACAGTAGAAAATGGGACATCCTTGCAGATATTTTTAATGAAAAATAATGATAAGATATTTCTTTTCCTTTTTAGCTTCCAAAAATCATTTTACAAAAAGGCATCTCTAAAATATATATTCCATGATATTCAATGCTTAAAAATTTTTAATAAAACTTCTAAAAAATATTATAAAAATATAAAACCCTTCTTCTTGGACTTTTAGTTCAGTGATTTAAGGTCTTTTTTCGAAAACTGCATTGATATTGGTATGGCACGCATTATTTTTCATATGCCTGCCTGGCTGTATGATGAATCTGTGGCTGCCTTTGGTCTTCCTCACATTTTTGGCTTTTATTTTGGGTCTTTTCCCTGTTGGTTTCATCTGTTTGCGGCTTTTATGGGAAATTGCCTTTTCCTACTGTTTTCAAGGGAGTAAGGAGTATACTGATGCCTGTGTTTCTGGTTTGTAAGTGGGCGCAAAATTAACCACAATTATGATTTATTTTTGTAAGGATTTTCCGTGGATTATTATAATTAAATAGGAAAATATTTTTCGATTCCAAGAAGTCTAGTTATCCGTCACATTTCTCTTCCTCGTATTAAGACCAAATTAACACCTTAGTACAAAATGTTCTGCCTATCACGAAGTTCTTTCATTTGTATTTTCATTTACAACTGCCTTGACGACCTCGATTTTCCAGTGTTTAGTATGCAAAACCATTTGCCAACAATTAAACTTCATCGAGTTTATCAAATTTTTGACTCACAAAACATAGCAGGGCTCGGAATCAAAGTCAAGTCAATTGTCCTAATTAAATATTCTGGCCGAGAACCGGAGAAATGGAAATGTTTTTTCACCTTGTCGTTCAGGCAGAAATACAATTTTGCCTGGCATCGATTTGACAACCATTCTACATGACAACTCAGACACATCGAGGTCTGCTCATTTGTGCAGCAAAATCAGTGCAGGATAGATTTCAATGGAAAATCAAACCCCCTCTCATACCACATTTTCACCTACATCCTTCTCCCAAACAGTTTTTGTGGTGGATTGGGCAAAAATCGAATCGAATTGAACCGAAGGCTCTGGCTTTTCCAAAGCAATTGAAAATTATGCTGCAGTGGAGAACTTGAACAGGACTTGGAACTCAAGAGTGTTGGAGAAGATGCCGTTTCACATGCTCGTTTTCAGGGCGTTTACAGAAAAGGAAAAGCAAAAAAAAAAAGACTATGGAAAATCGGTTGAAATCTTAAAAAACAGGTCATATGGAAATAGGTTTAAACTGATGTTTATTAATGTGGAACTTTTTGCCTTTAAACGGGGAGATTTCTATGGCAACCTTGGGTTCAGTTTTTATGATGACTAGTCACTAAAACTATGATTAATTTATTACAAAATCCTGAAGCAGAAAAAGAAACATTAATTTGAATAGAATTTTCAGAAGTTTTCATAACTTGTTAGGTTTGTTGGGTACTCTTCCTCTCTGTATCTAGCAATCCCTGTAATTACTCATACTTTAGAAAAAGATCAAAGCTAACTTGGCTAGCAGCTGGCCCCACTTCGCACACTCATCACTCACTCCACTTCACGCCGCGGCACTCCACTCAAAATGCAAACTTCAAAAGCGATCTCTTGGGTCTTCAATCTTCGGCATCGCTGGCCGCTGCCTTGAGGCTGCTTTAATTATATTTAAACATTTCAAGTTACACAATTCAATTGAGTGAGTTCCAACAGCAGTCTGACTTGGAGTGACCTTTTGGTTAAGTTGGTATTGTGGCCAAAGAAATAGCTATATGAACATTTTCATCTACAAGTTGACATTGAAATGCGTTTCATGGTCCGTTCACTTCACTTCTTAAGGCACTTAATTGGTGTCTTCGGTCTGTCGTTGTGTTTCTGTTTGTCTGTTTGTTTGTCTGCCTCTGTTTGGCTCTCAAGCGCATCGAATGTAAATCGAAGTTATATATATATATATATAAAACTAAATATAACACTAGCACTTAACCTTGGAAAACAAAAAGCAAGAAACCATTTGAGTGTTCAAAAAATGGCTTGAAGATTTCTGCAATTGAATGTCGAGTGGCACGTGTCTCAAGCGGAAGTTGTACACTCAGTTCTCTCTCTTTCTCTCTCTCTTTATATGTATAAATATATATATTTATATACATTATTTAGCCTCAAGCTGAGTGATTTTCTGTCAAGACAAGATATTATCAAGCGGAAGATTTAGCTACAGTTAATAAGTGCTTTATAATCTCCAAGCAGTCTGCTCAATTTATTTGGCTATCAAGTGGGCGATCATCTTCAAGGCTGCCCATCGAATTAGCTTTGATTTATTGCTTGTTGACTAGCGAATAAATGTTTGGCAGTTTAAAATAATCATAAAAATATTTATGAGCAATAAAATTAGTTGAAAAACTCAAAATTAAATTTTAAGAACTATAAATACAAGGCCTTATCTTGCACCATTACACTTGTTTATCACGAAATTATTTTAAAATTGCTTTAAAAATTCACTAATAAAAATTGTGTTGTTTTGTTTTCTAACGAAAAAATATCTCACAGCAAAACTGTAAACAAACCGATAAAAACATTCGAGTTACTCACACTCTGTCTCGAAAATTACCGCTCGCTCTTGAAAGCTGAACCGGCTAAGCTCAAGTTCTAAACACAACTGAACTGGACTGGGAACGTGTTCGACTTATCACTTTGGTCGAGGGAATTTCTCTCCTCAGAGGGAACAAATATAAACACAGAATTTCAAATAATAATTGCTGATAATCAATTGCAGGTCTATAATGATGATGAGGGAACAAAAATAATGCACGACTCGTGTAAATGTAAAAAATGTTTTTCAAAAATTAAAATCTACATTTAATGGCTGGTTATGAAATCCAAAACAAAGCACTGCCATTACTCAGTCGACTCAGCTAACAAAAATAGTTGCACTTACATATATTAGCTAAGGTAGAACAGCTGGAAAATATAATAACTAACAAATTATTATATAGAGAATACTTTCCATTATCTGTTTGCTTTTGGGATTTACAGAGATTGAGGGTAAGGTGGAACAGCTCGAGATGATAAGAGCAGAGCAGATTTTGCTGCTATCAGTACTTACACATGCAAGCCAAATTATAAATTATATAATAAATTATAATATAATTGTTATTATATCAGAAGCGCCATGCAAGGGTTTACTGAACTTTAGCTTGACATGCAGCTAAGTGCGGTAATCGGAGCAATTAACAGATACAAGATACAGATACGAAGATACACGGGGGGCTTTGCCCAACGAATTCACAGAGTGCTAATGAAAAGCAATCTAAAAGCTAAATTCAAAATTTAACTGAGAATTGCTGCAGTGAAAGAAAGTTAGGTGTAAAAAGATTGACTAAATCTGAACTTTTGCCTTTCATTTGTATCTGAAAAAGATTTCTATTTGCCTTTCTTTCAGTGCATTGCTGATTTTACCCATGGATGTTTACAGAGATGTCGACGCTCGACTTCTTCCCTAATGAACCTGGATAGGCTTTGATTTTCTAGAGCAATTCAATTAACAGTTTTCCCACTTTGGCAGTCCCCCGATTTGCAGGTTCGTCTACAGTTATGTGCACTCAATTGAACGCTAATCGAAATATTTACCATTTCCCTCCTATTTCCTGCTAGAAAATCTCTCAAACACGAAATGCGGTTTAGATTTTCGTATATTCCTTTTTTTTTTTTAGTAATTACCACAGGGAAAACTAAGTGGGCGGGCTAAAAATTATCACGAAGCCACTAAGCACTTTTGAGCGTGACTGCAGCACAACATTTGGTTACATTTTACAAATACATCTCCATTAAGAATAATTAATAAATATTTTGAAGTGCTCTCTGGCTGTGAATGTGAGTGGTTTTCCTTTGGGAATTATAATTTTAATAACTCATTTGTGATAAAAATATTTCTAGAATGCCAAGAGAAGTGTTTGATAAGCTAATCATGTTTCAAGAATTTCTAGCCCCAAGAGGCAAAGTTTAATTTGAAAAGCAAAAAAATTACTTAAAACTATACTTACTATTCCAGATAAAATTAGAGAAAAAACCCACTTAAATGCCTCATTTTAGTTTCTTGCCTCCTTGTAACATAGCTTTTATGGTCACTTCAAATTTTGTTTACCTGCAAAGGAATAAGTATAAATATTTTATATTAATTAACTGAGGCGTTATAAGCAGTTTACCGTATTTCGAATTCAAATTTAACAAGCAATTAATACGGATTGCTGGGTAAATTTGCAACTATTCAATTAGAGCCATGGTAAATATGGATTTAATAGAATTGCCATATGAATTGTGAATGTAACATTTCATGAATTCTGAATGCTCATTAGGCACACTCAGAGACTTTCGCCTTAAATACATATATTGTGATTGTGCAACAACCAATATGATGATGATAATGATTGCCGTCTTGCCAAAGATGAAGAGAATTCAAACAGTTGCCTATGCCCAAAGTAGCATATTCTAAGGACCAGTGAGAGGGACACACACAACTTAATCCTTGTAAAATTATAATTTCCAGATGCTGCTCGAGAGATGCCAATTCAAAGGCTTAAACAGTTTGACTGTTAGTTGTTACTATTTGGCTAAAGTCCAAAATTTCAATTAGGTTGAGTAGTAGTAGTAGTAGTAGTACCGAAGGTTTCAGTTTGAGCGTTTCCACATTGCCTTGCAACTTGTGCTTACGAATGTTAATTACGCAATTGACTTGACAAGAAGCAGCAGCAACAACAACCAATATGTATCTAAATGGCCAATGTTTGTCTGTTGACTTACATAATTGTGCTGATCCTGCCTACGGCCTGTCCTTATATATCCTTAAATATATGTAATTGTCAGTGATTTAAGCATGGAAAACCTGTTTCTCAAAGCAATTACAAAATATTCTTCATTCAAATTCATTTTCTGCTCACTCAGTTTGGATTCATTTGCATGCAAATTAGTTTCTTTTGTTTTGTATTTCGCGCTTTTACTCGCTGAAAATTTTATTTATATTTCTTCTTGGAATTTAATTTTATTAAAAAGCTTTTGTGGAATTTTCTTGAATTTATTTCCCTTTAGTAACAAATTACAAAGGATTCGTATGTTTATTTAAATTGTGAGGTAAAATGCAAACTATTTTTAGTGGATGTATACTGCTGATATATAGAAAGTAGAAACGTGCCTTTTGAGTAAAGTTTTCCGCTATGTGTAATTGCAAATTCATCTAGAAAAGGGGGTTTTCGAGTACACTGACTAATGTGTAGACCTTGCCTTGATACGCGTCTGAACATTTTTTAAAAAAGAAAAATGTTACATTACCGCAATTCCTGGAAGTTAAATTCATAACAAACAAATACATCATTATTTTTTATGTAATTCTTTAGAATACCAGCAATCTACGAAAGTTCTTATCTTATCGGAATTTAAATATTTCTTTTTAATTTTTGTTAATTAGTTGATTAGCTTGAAAATGTCGTCTTAACCCAAGATAACCTCTTTTGGGAAATCCCAAAAATTATCAAATTTACATATTGACAGTAGTGACGATTGGTAAATAACCTTTTTGGGACCAGAATAGCTAACAAAAGCTTTAAATCTGTTTATTATATTTCATGATCTAATGAATTGATTTTATTTTGCAAACTCTAAATCTACAAAAAATCTCTTCAACCTTCAAAACTCAACATAGAACGGAAATATTTAGCCCCCAAGGTCCAGGCTTAGGGCCACCGAATTGTTGCATTTCATATTAGTTGCGAAATGGTGGTCAGTTTTTATTGTGGTATGGAATACAGGACGAATGCATACGAATGCAAATGCATGCACATATTTTTCATGGAAAACGTTTCAATCAAAACCATTTCGATTTTATTAAAGTTCTAATTTGCGGTCATTGAGGTGGCAAAAGCATCATGAAAACCGGTTATGGAATTGATAAATAAAATTATTGAGGCATGAAACTAGTATTTGGGGCTTAGTATTTTTAATGAACTTTCCAACAAAGGGCTTTTAATGGGTTTCAAGGAAGGAACTTTTAGATTTAAATTGCTAATTTTTAATGGCAAATATTAGGAGTTAGTTCCTCTTTGGGGCCACAAAAATTCCCAATGAACATATTAAAGTAAATTGTGGTCAAAAAGTATTTTGGCTTTCCCTGAAGAGTAGTTTAAATAGTTAGTAAAAGAGAGCGAAACCCCATTCATAGCCCCAAAATGTGTAACTTTTAATTAAAACTCCAGAGTAACCCCTTTATGTTGTGTTTTGATAATTTGTGTAATCGTCATATGAGTATATAAAAGTTTAGTTTCATTTCTGTGGCAACTAAAAAACATTTCCAAAGCTTTCGCAATGCTGTTAAGTCAAGGGGTTAAGTGTGTGCCAAGTGTTAATAAGTTTGTATGTTTTCGAGTCTCCTTCACATAACCACAAAATGTTGATGCTTTGACAATTGTTATTTGTGGCATGTCAAAAGTTGACTTGAAAATTCATTAAAAACAAATCAAGAGATTTGTGAAAAGTTAAGCTCTATGTTTTCATACTTAAAGTCAATTTAGACTTTAAATGCTCGTTTAAAGTTTTACAATAAACGGAATTTATTTGGATATTTTTATCATTTAACCGATCATAAAGTTTAACAACTTTTTGTTGAGCAAATCATCGGGCAAATCTATATAAAAACGAAAACCCTTTCACAGTTCATTCAACTATCTGCCAGCCAGCCCTTAACTTGGCGAGTTCTACTACTAAGCCGGCACAATGCACAAAATCCAAAAAGCCAGAAATTCCCCATCGCTGCCTCCCCAAATCAGATTTCATGCTAACAACTTCCGGCTTGCCACCAGACTAACACACATACATAAAAAGAAAAGAAAAAAAGCGTAGAAGGCTGTAAAACAAAAACATAAAAAGCCAACAAGAAAAATGAAAAACTTTTCCGGAAAGGGCAATGGGCAATGGGCAATGGGCAGTGGGAATGGTGAAAAACTTCTCTTGCAGCTATAAAATAGACTTTTGGCTATGAATTTCACTCGGCTGGCATATAAAATTTAACGCTCCAGCCACAAGTCTCTCTTTAAAATGTAGCCGCTGTTGCCGTTTTAATTGTGAAACTTTTGTCATGCAACTTGCATATCTGCACAGCAGGATAGTCCCAGAAAAAAACAAGGATAAATAACTATATATATATATATAATGGCAAACTAGCAGCGAGCAAGGATAAAAGGAACGAGACGAATGGCCAATGGCCAATGGTCGACGACAAGTGCAACTTGTTCGGCACTTTCGCCGGCTTTTTGTTTTATTTATTTATGCCTCGTTGCTCCACCATTCAGGGTCCTTCATCAAGTCCTTTCTGCCTCTTCACTCCCCTCTATTTATAAATAATCTACCGCATTTTGTTCTTGCCAACAAGGAGTTCTTCTTTCGTTCAGTGCAATCCCCTTTTTTGTCCAGGGAGAGAGCTTATCAAACAATCATTAGCTGGCCAAAAGCAAAGGGAAAGTTTCTTGATTTTGTTAGTAATTACTCTCCTTAGTGGCAGATGTACAGAAATAGTACAATATCTGGTGTCATCGGGGCAAAGTTTATCAATTTAAAAGCACAACTAGTTTGGTTTTTTTTGTTAACTGAAGGAAAGGAAAAGTATTTTTCAGATCTATTCATCAAAGTTCGTCAAAGTAAAGTTAGGAAGATTTATTTATATTTTAAAGTAATATATTAGCAGCTAAACCTTAACTAATTTATCTATATTCCTAATTTTAATACTTCCGGATATATATTAAATTATTAAGGCCATGTTATAATCTCCTAATTACTTTTACCTTGAATTCCCTTAGGCCCTATCAAGATTTACTTTTTATTGCCATAGATTAATAATTTACAGCTCTGTTTTTAAGAGCCATGAATTTATTTTTACTATCTGATTTGTCGGTAGCCTTCACACCCAGATTCCAGTGTTTATCTCAGCGAGGAAAATTGCATTTATAATTTTATTTTGGCTCCATTTTCATTAGGCAGCAATTATAATTTGTGTATTTTTGTTTTTGTTGACAATTAAAAATTGATCGTCATAAATTTGTGAATTGGAAATTTGGTCATTTTGTGGACTTTTTAATTGTCCAATAATCTGTGCGAATCTGTTTAAAACCATAGCAGAGCACACACACACACAGTTATTTGCTTTTTCTGTATTATTTTACAAATTTTTATTGTATTGTTTTTGTGGTTCCGCAATTGACACTGTGAAATAGTGATTTAATTAGCAAATAATTATGCGTGCAGTTGCGCGTAATTTGTAGTAAACAAAGTCATTTCCTATTTGCATTATTTTCCCAATAAGAGCAAATGACAGAAAAACTTTGTATTTACTTAATTATATTTTTTTATTATTTGTTTATTTTTATTAATATAGATGAAATAAACTAAATTCTAAGCTAAGCATATCATAACTTATTTACCAAACCTTCTTGAAATGAAATTTCTTTTCAATTACACAACACTTTTCGGGCCAAAACACCAGGAGAAAGGGCAACAGGCTCATCTCTCAGACAATTTAACTCAAACGAGGAAAAACCCTTGAGGCCAGCAACAAAAAAAAAAAAAAGGAAAGAAAATACGAAAAACGAGAACTTTTGCACAAATCCTTATGAACATTAATAATCATTAGTATACACTGTATAACATGTCCTTCATAATATGTATGTGCAAAAAACTTTCATGTTGTGTTGCCAGTCCTTGGATTTGCTGGTCTGTGGGCCATTTTACAATTTGTCAAATTCACTCAACTGTATGACTAGAAATATGAAACAGAAACCCGAAAAAGGCGTATGAAGGATGCTGAGTGGAGCACAGAGGATTGGATTGTATGGCCAAAGGCGGCTGAAGGGCTAAATCCTGTTGGGGAGAGAAAGAGGAAAATCGGGTTCAACATGAAATTGCACATTTTTCACATAATTTCCCTGATTTTTTATTTTCATTTCTTTTTTTTTTTCCCTTGTACACTAAACAACAGAATTTGGGTTGTTTCTTATGTTTTGGCGTAAAATATGCGTGCTGTGGTTGCGTCCCCAAAAACATCGTTAATTTGATTTTGTTTTTCCTGTTGTTTAACCCAAATCAAGGGTTTTTCCTCTAAGGCTG